TTTCTCAAAAATTACTAAAGTGAACTTAACACTTTAAGGAAAACTGACAGTATTTTTTGCCAATTGATACAATACAGGTTTCAAACAAAAATGAGAATAGACTTGTAACTGCCACTGTCAGCTTAATAGAAGTGACACTTTTATATAATGAACTGTGTCAAAACTTAAAAGATCTGTCTTATGAACCAGTATTTTGTAAATGACCTATGCATGATGTTAAAAAATCATGCATGGGTCAGATCCATTTAAAATGCAAGATAGACAAATGGATTTTAATATAACAAAGTTACAAAAGTTCATTGATGTGGCTTCAGATTCCACATTGCAACACTAACCTCTAAAAAACTAAGTTGTCGAATTTTGGTGTAGTATCAAAATGATATGCTATCTACCCTAAGTGAATCATTGTGCAGTATATGCATGTATTGAAACACCACACTGTACTCCACAAAAATGTACAATGTTAGAAAAATTAAATTAAAAAAAATAACAGGATACCTATAATTACCCCAACCTAAGCTTCTGGAAGACCATTAATCTTCCCCTAGCTCACAGTGAAAGCTATAGCACCTCTTTCCCTAGGATCTTCCAGAAGGGAAGGAGTTGGAGGGAGGAAAAAAAATAATTCCTGAGGGTAGGCTAGACACCTATTGTTTGATGATAACCGTGTATGTACCAGTGCTTTATATAACTGTAATATTATATAATCCACACAAAACCCCTAACATGGTACTAATAAGGGAACAGACTCAAAGAATTGGTCAGCTAGCCATTGTCACAAAGCTATTAGAATAGCAAATTAGGATTTGGACCAATATTTGTCTGTCTGTAAAGCTGTTTCTCTTCCTAGTAGTACTATGACACAAGGGGCAGCTGAAAAATATTCTGCTTCTCCTTCCTAGATCAAAGTTCCAACGTTCATTATCATTTCTATAATGCATTTTAGTCATGCTATGAGTTCTGTATCCTCTCAGTGCCTGGCATTCAGGTGCCAGGAAGTGTTTGCTGAATGAATGAGTGTAACTTACCTGCACATTTTCTGTCCTTCTCAAGGTGTATGTGATTCACTTTTATAATCCACCCATGACTGTTTCATCCATGATCATCCTTTTATCAATTGCTTTTCTTGCAAGAAAATTAAATAGAAAAAAACCAGCTTTATGCATGTTTATTCTCTCTTAACTCTCAGGAATAACTCATTGTCCAGCACACTTGCCATTCTGACCAACGGCATTCAAATACAGATGCTCTTTACTTATGATGGGGTTACAGCCCGATAAATCCATCATAAATTGAAAATATCGTAAATCAGAAGTGGACATTTTGTAGACATGATGTGATGTGAAAACACTATCCAAAAAATGCTGGCAAAACACAGTACAGTGTAGTGTATCAATTGTTTACCCTCATGATCATGTGGCTGACTGAGAGCTGCAGCTCAGTGCTGCTGCCCAGCATCTTGAGAGTATGGTACCACATATTGCTAGCCCAGGAAAAGATCGAAATTCAAAATTCAAAGCACAATTTCTACTGAATGCATACTGATTTCGCACCATCATAAAGTAGAAAAATCGTAAGTCGAACCATTGTAAGTCAGAAACTGTCTGTATTCACCTGGAACCAGGCATTTTGTTCCTTTGGCTCTTCACTTAAAAGAAAGCACCCGGATATACTCAGTTCATAATGGAACTGCTTAGCATCTTCACAGTGTTTGGCACAGCTGTAAACACACATTGAGCCATCAGTAGTTATTACAGATGATTATGCCCTCAAGTCCAGAACATTTTAACTTCCCTGTTTAAAGGGTGTGATATATGCATTCTTATTATGGTGTACTTTTGATTTCTTTCTGCCATGTACAGTATTCTTATTAAAAGATGGCAATTCCATATGGTTTTCTCATGAGTTCTAACCATCTTGTCATACCCTAGTCCTTTTGGCAATATCATACGGTCACATTTGCAACTAAATACCATTTTGCATTTATCCATTTCTTCCATTGGTATTCATTATAGGCCATCATAGTCCTCATATCTGTGTGACAAAAACTCATTTTTTTTCCACTGATGTCTGTAGTATACTTGTCAGCTTTCCGTGTTTAGTTCTTATGTGATGTAGCCCAAATGACTACCTGAAGGGATGCCAAAAGCCTTAGGTTCCAGATTCTTAGGTACTGTTCTATCAATTCGTTTGTTCATTTTTAACTTTCCCTTTTGTCATCTGGAGCTCACAGTTGAGTAGCCTGAACATGTTTCGCATGTGTCCTAATTTGTAAGTGAGAATTTGGGAATACTGTCCTAGGTTCTAGGCTTAATATTACCTTCCACTTACTTAATACTTACATAATGCTTATTCATAAAACCTTCAGTTTTCCTGAAAGAGAAAAGAATGAACATGTATCAAGTGCCTGCGAGATGCAGAAACCATGTACTAGACTTTCTATATATTGTTTTGACAACATATACAAAGATGATGTCCTTCCCAGTTTACAGATGAGGAAACTGGAGCTCAAAGTAGTAGATACCTACCCAAGGTCAAATAAGCTGTTAACTGGCACAGCTGGGATCTGAAAAATGTCAGTTTAACTACATATAGGCTCCCCCATCAACCACCTGTCATTGCCTACATGACCTCACCTAGGAATGAGAAATCCTTTTCACAGGGTTGTTGAGAGGATAAATGAGATTCTGTTATGAAAGCTTTCTAAAGCTATAATGTACTACAAAGTACTCTTTAAAATTTAAATACCTACACATGTACGCATGCACATGTGTGTGTATAAAATGGGTTAAGAAACATTATAGAATTAACCTTTCAAATTTTTAAACAATGCGCTCATTTTCCATAAACTAAATATATAAACAACTAGTTGGTCCCTAAAAATAGAAGTCAGGTGACAGAAATTGGCTGAGTGGGGAATAGGAGCATCTTCAGAACAGAAGCCAGGGAAGTTTTTGCTTCCCCAACACATTGCTGTACTGTTCACTCAGTCCAGGACTTTGGCCCAAAGCAGCTCCTCTACATTAGTGATAAGTTTCCATTAATCAGGGATGGCTTGTGCCAGACCTACAGAAAAGTAATTTCAGGTTATCCACTTCTGTTACAGACTTCCAATATGTAGTCAGTCCACTCACCTAAATCTAGTAGGGGAATTCAATGCCTTGTGATACAGAAGCTTTTCCAGAAATTCTTGACAGCGTTCAGGAAACTATGTAAAACCCTGGGGCTTCTTCCCAGAATTGGGGTGGTGGGAAAGCTGTCCTGTTGACTAAGACTCTTAGATAAGTAGATGGCTGGAAAAATACAGGAAGGTTCATTTGAAGACAGAATTTAGGGGGAGCTTTTGAGTTTAGGTGCTTAATTACTTAAGGCAACATTTATAAAACAAATTGTCATTCTACAGTTATCACCTTTTAACTTTATTTCTAAATAGAACAACAAAAAAGATGTTACTTGATAAATATAATTTCTAACCAGATTGATAACTAAAGCAATCTCTTAAGTTAGTTTCCTCTGTGAATTAGTTTAACCATATTTGTAACTGAGATTTAGTACTGTTATTGGCTGAAATAAACAAAAGCATGCAGTAATAAAGGATGATGAAGAAACAACTAACAACCAATCTAAGTTTATTCCTAAATGCCATCTCTTTTAGAGAGAAGTTCAGAGAGAGGTAATGGTATGTTTATGAATGTTAGTGTTCAGGAAATAAACAACACATTTTAATATGTAGAGTGCCAAAATCAACAGGTTGGTACCATCCATATTTTCAAAGGTCTGCTTGAGAACACATAACCAGATAAGGAATGGGCAGTCTCTAATTATAAGCAGAAGGCTAGAAATTCTTTTTAACTATATAACACAATTTTGATTCTAAAAGTCAGCATGTAAGGTGAAAACTTCTTAGGAAGATACAGCATATTGGATGATTCTGTCATCTAGTATGAAATGCAGCAGCTAATTTTTCCTCCAGTATTGAAGGGATCGCTGTTTCATTGGTTTATAAAAATACATCTTTATAAGCAAATTGGTAAAATGTTAAGAATTGGTGCATATAGGTAAAAGGTATATATCCATCATACAATTCAACTTTTCTGAAAGTTTGAAAATTTTCAAAACCACAAATTATATATTTTTTAAACACTAGTAAACACTAGACTTGCACTTGTTGTGGTGAGAAGTTTGCTAAATGAAAAATGAGACCTAGTAAGAGAAACAGATTTACATTTTTCAGTTTTTTTCTTCAGGGCATGTTTTACTTGAGTGGAGAGAGAAGAATGGTCCTGTTTGTTGAAAGCCTAGTGCTAAATTTATCCAGTCTTCTTGCAAGCCAACAAGGAAGGTTATAGATAGTAGTGTTTCTGGATCAGTCTTTTCTAAGTCATAAGAAATTGTAGTTTCAGCTAGGATGACATTGGGAATGAAAGATGTAGGAACAACTCGAAAATTGTAAAAAAAAAATTTGACTCTAGTAGACGAGATGGGTAGAATTGTAATGAAATTTGATTGAATTTAGGAAGATGCCTATATCAGATCTAAGAATTAGGGAAAAAACTGATGTCCTAAGCAATTAAAGGGGTAAGAGGATCTTTTTGGGGTGATGGAAATATCCTGTCTCTTGATCATGGTGGTAGTTACACACCTTCCATTTAACAAAACTCATAATTTGTACACTTGGAAAATAATGTTATTGTAAATAAGTGATACCTTAATAAAAGTCATTGTAAAAATAAATCCTAAGCAACCATAAATTATAATTTCTAATTGAATTACAACCTCACCATTCTATTTTGGGGACACGTCAAAAGAAATGACCTTATTCTTAAATTTGTATAAATGAATAGAGCATTATTTTAATATATTTAGGACATTTAGTGCCGGTTAGTACTTGAAGCCGAAGTTGAGTGTGAATATGCTGACTCTGGAGTGAGAACTATATTTTGATATTCCTTTGACGGTCATGACAGTTAAGTCATAACACTCTTTTCTTCCTTCTTCAGCCCTGGAATGAGACCAGACGTAAGCTCTCCTCCATCTAGCTCCTCAGCAGCAACGGGACCACCTCCCAAGCTCTGCCTGGTGTGTTCTGATGAAGCTTCGGGATGTCATTATGGAGTTTTAACTTGCGGAAGCTGTAAAGTATTCTTCAAAAGAGCAGTGGAAGGTAGTGTGTGTTTTGAAGAGTTTTATTTTTCCTCTATTTGGTTCTTATTCCTCAGAGTGGATTTCAAAATTTCCATTATATGCAAAGTCCATTCGAGCCAGATATCAGTAAAGGAGGGAGAGGATGGTGGCTCCTAAGTCCTCCAGTGGGAAGGAGATATTTTTTAAAAAACAACACAAGAAGAACTAGAATAAAAATTAAAAAGTATAAATTGACAGGAGGGAATTTGGCGAGAGAATATAAGGAAACACTGTAAGAAAGTGCTGTCATGTGAAATGATGGCGTTAAGTTTGGGCAAAAACATATGCCCTTTATATTAGACTCATGGGCCTCAACTTTCATAAGCTAGTTGGTTTCAGAGCCACCAACTATACCAGTCTGGCAAAAATGAGTCACAGTGACATTGTATACATGGATCCAAATATCACATTGCACCCCATGTATATGTACAAATATTATGTGTCAATTAAAAATAAATATAACAGCAGTAACGATAAAAATGAGTGATAGAACCGTGAGGGGAAAAAACATTCATTTCATTCATTTTTTTTTTCTTTCTTTCTATTAAGCCAGGGCACCATCCTAAGTGTAAGTACCATTAAGATCTGATCCCTGCCTTCTTGGAGGTCACAGCCTATAAAAGGGAAAGATGAGTTAACAATTATGAGGTACAGAGATTATAGTACAGAGGAGGGAGTGATAAACTCTGAGGAGGTCAGGAAATTTCAGAGAAGATGATTTCACTATATGAATGTTGTATTAATATAAACCTAACCCTTGTTATAGATTCAGAACTGCTGTCAGGGGCAACAGCATTATCTCTCTGAAGAAGGAGTTCATGCCGTAGCAAATAATTATTGGAAGGGACCCTAAAAGTTTCTAATATTACCAGCGAATCCTCTTAGAAAAAACTATCATGTGATTTAGTTATTTGTAAAGCAGTTTGAAGGCACCATGGCCTGAGTGGATTACCTAAAGTTCTGATTATATTAATTTTTAAAGAAATATAATTATCTATTCATTCACTATATGAAGATTATTATTTGGCTAGTTTGTGTTTGCATATCCTTGAGAGTTAGGTGAGTTATTTTCTTTTGTTTGCATTACTTTTTAATACATTAGTAAATTATAAAATTACTCATGTTACCCCACATAGACCACAAGGATGTAAGCTTTGGCCAGTGGTAGTAGCTCCCACCTGTTGACTGGAATCATAAGTAAAGTCATGCCTGCTTAATGCAATGCCCCTAATAAAGTGGATGTTATTTAACACATACCAAAAAGAAGGAAACCTCTTCTTACCTTCACTTTATTCAGCACTTTTTACTGCTTAAGTATTCCCATGCCATAAATGCAATGATAATAGTAACAGTACTGCTGTACATAATAAATAATATTGACAAATTGACTTATGAAAGTGAAATTCGGAATGAGACAGTGGAGCCTTAAAAAAATATGGGTATTAAAAAAATATTTTTTCACTTTCCTCCATTTAACTAAAGTTGTTCTTTAAAACAGGGCTACAAGTTCAAGTGCCTTCAGGAACCAACGATGTATCATTCTGGCCAAATGTTAATACAGTTGGGGGAAGGAGGGCAGGTATTAGAGAGTGCATACATGTCCTACCTAAAAGCATCCAAATGCAATTAAAACAAAAAACAAAGTTAAACATACCTCCCAAATATAACACTATTGCAGGCCATATGCCCTTTGTGCTTAATCACTGCTTTAAAACATTTGTTTAAATCACTGCTTACACTTGTTTTTAGGTAAAATTTAATTGAAGTAAAGTATTTCAATGAAGTGTGATGGTTAGATTACATGATTAAAATAAGAAAAGGTTTAAATATGGAATATGTTAAGTAAATCACTTTGCTCTGTTTACTCCTTTATTAGGAAAAAGGCCCTTTCTAGTTCTAAAATTCTGCAATCTTTTATACAGTTATAAAGATGTAGCTTGTATGGTTTGCATCATACACTCCGCACTCCATTTTTAACACCTGTTAGAAGTTATAGGTTATCTCCCCAAATTGGTGCAGTATAATAAATACCTAAACATTTAGCTGTTCTTAAAAAGTCTACATAACTTTTTCTTCTTTACTGTCCATGCAACCCATATCAAGGTTAGATATTTTGTTATTTTTTTACTCATTATTCTGGTAGTCGCTTCTTTTTTCCTGTAACCTTTTTCTTTAATAATAACAATGTGAAAACTACTGTATTAGTTTCCTAGGGCTGCCATAACAAATTACCACAAACTAGATGGCTTAAAACAACAGAAATATATTGTTTCTGGAAGCTCAGAGTCCAAAATCAAGGTGTTGGCAGGGATGGTTCCTTCTGTAGGCACTGAGAAAGGGTATGTACCATGCCCCTCTCACAGTTTCTGGCAGTTGCCAGCAATCTTTGGCATCCCTTGGCTTGCAGATGTATCACTCCAGTCTCTGCCTCCATTGTCACACAAAATCTTCTCCCTGTGTCTTTGTCCAAATTTCCTTCTTCTTAATAAGTTTTAATATTCTATAATAGTGCTAGGTGTCTAATAATTTATTACATATTTTCATATGGCTAGAGGAGAGGAGTTCAGATGTTCTCATCACAAAGAAATGATAAATGCAGTGATGGACATGTTAATTAGCCTGATTTGATCATCACACAGTATATACATGTATCAAAATATTACTCTGTACCCCACATATATGTATAAAATTAAACAGTAAATTTCCCTCTTTTTATAAAGACACCAGTCATTGGATTATAGCCCACCCTAATTCAATATATCTTCATGTTAATTTGATTACATCTACAAAGACCCTATTTCCAAATAAGGTCATAGTCACAGATACCAGGGGTTAGGACTTGAACACAATGCCTAACATTCCAGGAACAAGAGCATCACCAAGAAACTTGCATGTTTCATAGTAATGAAATAGAAATAATGTAGTTCTTACTCCTGTCTATATCTTTCTCCTAAAATTGCATTTACTCAAAGTCCCATCACGAGTAGGTAATTGAACTAGTAAAGGCCCCTTTTTTTTCCATTCAGATACCATAAAATTCACCTTTTTAAAATGTATGACTCAGTGGGTTTTAGTATATAGGCAAATCCATAGAGACAGAAAGAAAGGGCTGGGGATAGTGGGGAATGAGGAATAATTGCTAGTGGGTATAGGTACTTTTTGGAGTGATGAAAACATTCTAAAATTATGTAATGATGATGGTTGGGAGTCACTTTTCTGCATACAGAAAAGAACTGCAGGTAGCTCCATTTCTTTCTATGTATACTAGGTCAATAATGACTTTTTTTTTCTGAGTCCCTTTTTCTTATATTCCCTTTGCCCAAAAGTGCATGTAATCATTGTTGGAAGGTCACAATGGAGATAGGCATACTTTCCCTTAATTTATGTGTCAAGTGCTCTGTTTTATATATATATATAAATTATATATTATACCATTTAATAAATGGCTCTGTGAGCTCTTAGATGCCATTATGATTTGTACTTGATAGACTAGGCAACTGAGGCCCAGAGAATTTCAGTGGCAGAGCTGGGATTTAAACACAGCTGTCTCCAGACCAGGTCTTAAACTCATTACTACACTGACTCCCTAAGAAGTATATGGTAAACTCTTGTCATCTGGCAGTTTATAATCTAGTTTAATACTGAGATAAAAGTAATCATAAGGGAAGTAAATAATAGCTGGCATTACTGAGTGCTTAGAATGTGTTAGGTACTATTGTAAGAACAGCCTGCGTAATTACCTCTTAACTTTTGCAGAATCCTAGCAAAGTAGGTGCTAATTTTCCAACTTTACATATAGGGAAACAGAGACTCGGAAAAATTAATGAACGTTACTGAGATCACACAGAGAGGAAATCGAGCTGGGATTGAGATCAGGGGCTTCCTGGTACCTCCCCCCAACCCAGTGTTCTTTCCACTATATCATACTGTTATTGAGAGCAGATATAGAAAGAAGCTGAAGCTCATAGTCACAGTATACATTTGATCCTCAGACACTTCAAATAGGATATACAGCCTGCATGTTCTACATGCCCTTTGTCGTGTTGCCCATTTCCTGTACCACTATGATGATCTCGCTCATGCCTATGCGTCACTGCTGTATTCATTTCTTAATTTTTCTTGGCTTACCTTTTTTAACTACTTAAATTCATTTAAAAAAAGAAAAAAAAAAAAGGTACTATCCCTACTGTATTAGAAATGTGTGGCTGTGTAAAAAAAAAAAAAAAAAAAAAAAAAAAAAAACTCCAAAATTAGTGGCTTAAGGCAATAAACATTTATTACATCATACAATTTCTGAGAGTTACAAATCTGGAAGCAGCTTAGCTGGGTGGTCTCATGACTCTCATGAGGTTACATTTAGGTTATTGGTGGAGGCTGCAATCATCTGAAGTCCTGATTGGGGCTGGAGAATCCACATCCAAGCTCATTCATCCTCATTATGTTGGCCTCCTTTAGGGCTACTCTCAACATAGCAGCTGGCTTCCCTGGAACAAATGATCCAAGAGAGAGTGACTAATGTGGAACCATAATGTCTTTTATAACATATTCAGATATGACATACCATTACTTCTGCCATATATTATAGGTTACACAGATCAATCTTGATATACTATGGAAAGGGACAACATAAAATTGTATAAAATTTCTTTTTATTGTAACTGCTTCAACTATGGATGCATTTGTTTTTCCTACTTTTTTGCTTTATAGAGGATAGAATTATTGGGTTACTGCTTCCATTTCATGTCTGCAGAAGCTAGGAAACTTATAGGGTACATAAAGAAATTGAAACAGCTGGGATAGACATTTGACATTAGAGAGAAGCTCTGGAACAAAGATAAATAACAGCCCGTTAGTCAACTGTAAGCCTGTTCTTCACAAGTAAAGAAGTGAACCTGATACAGTTAACCATCTACCCAAAACTAGTATTTAAAGAACACTGTCATTTATCGTATTAGGAAAAAGTGAATGTAGTTTGTTTTCATCTAAGTCAAATCTTAGGATGTCCTTGGGTATAAAGGATCTTTTCCCAGAAATCAGATCTAGGTATATTCAACCTAATGAGTTGATAATTATCATTTTTCTCTTCTCTTTGAATGTGATTTATTCTTGAGAATTGTCCTGCAGTCATGTGAAGACAATCCCCTCTCGTGTAAGGTATACAGACTCTCAGTTATCTAGTGTATTTAGTTAGACATGCTGGTCTTGCGTAGGAGACTTTTCTTCCAGTTTTTGCTAGGACAGCAGATCTTCAGATAGTTTTTTTCAACATTCAATAACCAGATTCAAAGAAGATTTAAAGAATGTTCATTTGGAGGTAGGGGAGACTTTTAGTCTTTTCTTTATAAATTTTCCTTGCAAATTTTTGCCAGGAGAGAACTGCAGTTCTACTTTTTAACACATTATTTACCACTAAGTACCAGAAGATTTTAGACAGTAACAATTTTTAAATTAATATTTGAGGTCAAAGGTGAATTCAAACATTGTGATATTCTAAAAGCATATAAAATGATAATCTCTGTAAACAATACTTAGTTTTCCAAGTCTGTGATTCACCTAGCCAGTTGCTGGCAACCTTAACATTCAACATTAAATATTTCTGTTTACCTGTCACTTCATTTAAAATTGGGAGGAGGAGGGGCACATTTTATTTGCATATGGTGGCATAATGTTGAATTAAAGTCATTTTCCCTTTGGGACTCCCACAGTATTTTTAAACCAGTTTCCTCTTTCATTAGTCCTCTTTAGCATTAGGTCAGAAGTCATCATTAAATAGTGATTACAGACATCTTCTGTAACTGTTAAAGGAAGAACTGTTTAAAGCACAGTTTATCAAAAGGGTGGTTACTCTTGGTGGGTACTGACTAGAATTGGGCACAAAGGGGGCTTGTGAGGTATAATTCTATGTCTTGATCTGAGGGTTGATTACATGGAGATCACTCAGTTTGTGAAAATGTTTTAAGTGGTACACATGATTTGTGTATTTTTATATATGTATACTGGAGTAAATATTTTTTAATGAATTATTTTCAGTTTGTTGAACAGAAAGACTTTTATTTTTATCTTTTTTTTTAGTTGATCTCTCAACTTCGTAATGACAATGTAGGCAAGTACACTGGTACCTTCCTTAACATGCCTTTAGGCCTTGGCTATGTTCCACCCAACACAAAAAAGGAAAGTAGCTCTCCATAAGTAATACACTTTAAGATCTGTGAAATTTTAATAGTGGTTTTTATTCCATATAGGACAACACAACTATCTTTGTGCTGGAAGAAATGACTGTATCATTGATAAAATTCGAAGAAAAAACTGCCCAGCATGCCGCTATCGAAAATGTCTTCAGGCTGGAATGAACCTGGAAGGTAATGTAAATATCTGAAAGGAGTTGTTTGTCTCTGTATCATATAAAAATGTGTAATTTTACTTTTTAAGATATAAGTAAGCAGACATAATAATTTAATCATTATATATGTGCTTGACTAGCACAATTATATATTATTGCCCAATAAAAATAGGAACTTTTTTCATGAATATGTGAAATTCTGTTTATTCACCAGCTTTTGTTACACACACTGAATTCAGAACAGCCAGACTATATACTAAGAAAGAAAACTGTGTAATAATGAAACTTACGTAACTTGAAGCAACTTTACTTCTATCCTTTTTATCTTATTCCTTTTTTCAGCCTCAAAACTATTCCCTAGGGTTGGAAATGTTTCTGTATCATACATATTTACATGTCCATTTTCCTGTCTCTTGCCTTTTAAAAACTCCCCTTTTACTTGCAGATATGTTTTATTACAGATCTGCAAAGAGAAAAAAACTCCTCAAGGAGGCATTGGTTGGGTTTAGTTTTTGTTTTGTTTTTCAAGTAAAGAAGACATCTGAAACTAGTTACAAATCATAGTTTCAGATCCCTGTTTATATAACAAGCTGTATAATTAATATTGATCTCATCATTAAAAAACCTTCCTCTGAAAAAAGTTTGGAATTCTGCTCTAGTTGAAACTGTAAGTTCTATGAAGGAGGAGGTGGTGATCTAATAACCCGTGTGCTTAGCATTTGCTGCGATGGTAGCACTTTCATTCATCAAGTATTCACCAACAAGGCAGTCACTAGACATAAAAATGAATATAATAATGCCCGTATTCAAGGAGTTTACTATCTAGTTAGGTTACAGAGTCAATCATGTAACTGTTGGTGCTATTAGCACACACTGTGTGCGTATGTGCTATTAAATATAAAGTAGATTTATGGGTATGACTATAAAGAATCTAATTACCCAACCACACACAAAACTTTATGTAAGTATGACCAGATTGTAAACTTGACTGCAGAGTGCTAACATGTTAAACATTGATTTCAATAAAATGACAGCTCCCCACTTTCTTATAGGTGTTCCAAAAGATACAAAGATTAATTACAAATTCATTTGCTTTCAGTGCCACAAGAGGTGGGGTACTTTTGTTATAAAAACAATATGGTTATTCCTTATTTTCTTACATACCAAATCTCTGCCCAGATTTTACTCAATTTCATTTTGCTGCTCTCTGAACTCTTAAGTATGTAATATACCTTGACCATTTAAATATGTTAAAGCACTTGAGTTTTTAGTGATTGGTTTACTACTTTTCTCTATCCTGTTATCTCAGATATTTTGTACTTAGAACTATAGGTTTTGAATAAAGCTCAAAGGACAAACCCAAATAAAATTCTATCATACCACTAAAATAGAACGGTTGCTTACCCAGTAACATTTTTAGATGCTTTCCCAAATACACATCAAGGTTAAGATCTTTGGAGCTGTAAGTTTATAATGCTTCTCTGGGCAATTCCTCCCCCATCCAAGGTATAAGGGAATTCTTTATTCAAAAGAAGATCTATCAACTAGAAAGTAATGATTCCAATGAACTAGATTGCTAAGTTTGTCCTATTTCTCCTCCTTCTTGCAAACAGTTTAATATCAACTGCAATGTCCTTTGCCCTTCCTTACCTCACTGGAAGATGAGGAAGGCAGGGAGAGACATCTTATTTTCTCTGTATTACCAAGTATTCCATCTCTACCATTTCTAGTTGGATCTTTTGTTGAAAGTCTGTCAGAATTTTTTTCTTGAATGAATAAAATTTAAGCATATACTTAATTGGAGGTGCAATTTCTCAAAATACTGTATTAGAAAACAACCAATAGTATGCTTTTATAAGTTGTCAGTATATCAGAATAGTGGGGAAATTAGCATTTGTCAAGAGTTACTAGATGTTAGGCTTTGATAAACATTATTTTACTCAAAGAGGTTGTTTTTGACCCTCATATTATTAAAAACACCTAAGAGCAGATCCAAGATTAACCTTATATTCATTTTTTGTATGACATGGTAGAACAGAGTTCTAGTCTGTCATTTCATAATATATTAGATGTTAGGCAGCACATATCATGTAGTTGATAATCTATTTCTACTTGTAGATAAATTGAAAGAAAGGCTTAAAAGATCTAAGTTCTTAGGGTGTGTGGCAGGGGTGGGGGTGGGGGGTAGTGTGAAAGCCTTATTTTTCTTTTGAATTAATCCCAGTATGTTAAAACCTTTATTTGGAATAGGTATGTATGTGTGCCAGAAATATCTGGCAGGCCATAATACATAAGAACGATATAGATGAGCCATGTGTTTCACACTTTTTTTTTTTACAATCTTTAGAAATATTCTCTTGTTCACCTGAGTGCTTCTCCTAAGCCAAGCATTTTTGATGATAGCCTTAAAGAAGAAGTGAGCTAGCTCTCTCAGAGCCCAATTCCCTCTGCAAATGTAACTTAATACTTCAAGTGGTGTATTTTGATACTTTTGTCCCATACCAAGTAAATCTCAAGGTTTATTTTAAGGCAGCCTTCTTCACTGCCTAAAGAGCCTGCCATTTAAGAACAAATAAGTTTTTTAATGATGAACCTAACCATTTTATACTCATTTCATTTTAAGGTACATTATAATAATTCCAAAGTAGTTTTATTTTTGTAAAAACAGTCAAATGGAACTTATAGGCAAGGCAAGTAGGCTACAGTATTATCAGATTTCTTACCTTGTATTATTTTATTATTATTATTATTATTAGCATATTTAAAATTTACTTTAAATAACATTAGCATGTTCTCATAATTGAGTGCTAATATGTTTTAAATTAAATAAGGTTTCTTTATTAAGGAGGAAGTGGAGTTACCAGATTCATAAACACTTCTATAGAAAATGAATACTAACTGCTAACCTACTGAACGGTCCAATGAGTCAGGAATTTATATAGAGCAAAATTTTATTAACTAAATTGCTTGAAAATAATGATTGCTTAACTAAATTATTCTATTAACAAACCCTTGCTGAAGATATTTTGGAAATGTATTAATACTATTTCTTTTTCTTTCTTTTTCTTTTTTTTTTTTTTTGTCTTTTGTCTTTTTCCGTGTCCGGCAATGGGATCGCAACCCTCGGTGTTGCTCCCGCGCCTCGCTCAGCCAGTGAGCGGGAACCGGTCTGTATGTGGGATCCGAATCCTCGGGCGGGAGCGCCGCCACGCTTCCCAAGCAGCGCACTATCCAGTGCGCCACCGGGCCAGCCCCTTAATACTATTTCTTGCTCTAATCAGTACAACACAATTGGCTTCACTAACACTTTTTGAGCTTTATTCAAAAGCATCAGTGCTCTCATTTAGGACTATAAATTAATAGTAAGAAATTTAATTATACACTGAGTCACAGAAAATTATTTTTAAAAATCTTCCAGTTTGACATCCTTTTGTTTTTGTTCTAACATGCAGTGTAGAAACTTGCATTCTAGACCATTTAATATTGTGGTTAATTGAGGTTTGTTTTTGTTTTTTTTTTTCCTTTTTGTCTTTTTTTTTCCGTGACCGGTAACGGGATAGCAACCCTCGGTGTCGCGCCCGTACCGCGACCGGCAACGGGATCGCAACCCTCGGTGTCGCGCCCGTACCGCGACCGGCAACGGGATCGCAACCCTCGGTGTCGCGCCCGTACCGCGACTGGCAACAGGATCGCAACCCTCAGTGTCGCGCCCACACCGTGCTCAACCAGTGAGCGGACCGGTTTCTATATGGGATCCGAACCCTCGGCGGGAGCGCCGCTGTGCTCCCAAGTGCCGCACTCTACCGAGTGCGCCACCGGGCTGGCCCTAATTGAGGTTTTTTACAGTTCTTTTTCAATGTATTGATTTGGAGCATGCATGTTCTCTTTTACATCGTCAACAAAGTACATTCCATGATTTGGGATCTGGGTTTCAGTGAGATACTTTTGGTTGTTTAAAGGGTTTCTTTCTGTATAGGAGCTCTTCCTTTTTTAAATTTTATCTCTTCTCTATAGAGTTTTACTATCTGCATCTAAAATAGTCTAAAAACATATTCTCCTACAAGTTGAGGTAATGATAGCTCTTATGTGGTATTTACTGTGTGCCAGAACTGTTCTAAGCATTTTACATATTTTAACTGATTTACTTCTCACAGCAACCCTATGAGGTGTAGAGATTAATATTATGCACATTTTACAGATGAGGAAACTAAGCCATGGAGAAACTTGGACAGATACCCAGCTACAAAATGGCAGAACAAGGATTTAAATCCAAACATGCTTGTTTCAGATTTGTGCTTGTTACTGCTATACTATACCATGCTTCCAAGAGAGCGTGATAAACTAAATTAGAATAGTTGTCATGATCCTGTTCTCTGTTTTGAAATGTTCACTTAAAATTCTTAAATTTCTCAGTAGCCCATTCAACAAAGAATACAGTACAGTAAGACTGGAACCATTCTATTCAATGTAAACAACAGGCTTTTTTCTGTTCTAACACTGGACATTGAGATATAGTTCCCTCCACCATATCTGTCCTCCACAAACTATGTGTTTGTCATTTTAGAGACAAAGTATCTAATAATTATCTTAAAAGGTGATTTATATTTAATTTTCTCTTTACAAAATGCTTTGTATCCGTGATAACTGAGGCAGGTACATTTTTTCTTTCATAATTACATTCCTTGCCCTTCTTGGCACTCTGAGTACTTTCTCTTTAAGAGAATAATGTAATTCTTATTTAGTCACTAAAACAAATAACTTCAGGGGAAAAAAAAACTCTACAGAATCCATACTGTAATTTGATTATACTGTTCTATACAAAGTCAGAGCTAAAACTTTACTTACTTTATATATAATATGAAAATGGACGCTTTAGTTTTATAGAGTCATCAGCATAAATCTCCCTTTTAAAAGGGAAATTTCCCACTGATAAATTATGTGGAGAAATGTAGTTTTTCTTTTCATCTCCCCTAATGTCTTCTCCCCAAAAGTAGTATCTATCACGTAAAGTGGACTTTACTGTTGTTAGAACTAATACAATGTTTTGCACACAACCTGCTATGTCATCTTCCTATCCTGATAAGAAGGGGGCTTTGTACAAGTGTATAAATAATGTGGCTCTCTTATTATATATACTACCATAATTTAGATCAACCCTAAACCACAGATTGTAATCTGCTATTACAAGCTTAAACAGATTCTTTCTTTCATTTGATAATAAAAGTAATTTGTCTTATATAACCAATGAAATTTTCACATTTAGAGTGGAGGTGAGACAAAAATCAATGTGAATGGGTTCCTGTTGATTTTTGGCTTTCAGGAAAAAAAAAACAACCTTTTTTTCTCTTCCATGTCGCTTTATCATGATTGCTAAATAAATATTTCTCTTCCTTCATTAAGTTTCAGAAATTAAAGATACCTGTTGAATAACTATGTAGCCCAGACCTTCCCATTACAAAATTCATTTCAATGTATTTTTTTAATACCTGCAGCTCGAAAAACAAAGAAAAAGATAAAAGGAATTCAGCAGACCACTACAGGAGTCTCACAAGAAACTTCTGAAAATCCTGCTAACAGAACAGTAGTTCCTACATCATTACAACTCACCCCTACCCTGGTGTCACTGTTGGAGGTCATTGAACCTGAGGTGATATATGCAGGATATGATAGCTCTGTTCCAGATACGACTTGGAGGATCATGTCCACACTCAACATGTTAGGTGGGCGGCAAGTGGTTGCAGCAGTGAAATGGGCAAAGGCGATACCAGGTAAGATGCAAAGAGGGGCAGAGCTACAGTGTAAACCTTTGTATTTAGTTGAATAAAAACACTCTGGCTTTTTATAATCCTATGGTATATCTTGTTTCTCTTACTCAGTTTTGGGTACTAAGAAGCGGGGAGCAAGCGAGGAGTCTATAATAAAACTTTACATTGCTCCTTTCAGACCATTACCCATATCATAGTAATTTCAGATAGGATGATGTAATGTAAGAACTAAGAGTTACGGGCCGGCCCGGTGGCGCACTGCTACAGTGCACCACTTGGGAGCGCGGTGGCGCTCCCGCCGAGGGTTCGGATCCCACATACAGACCGGTTCCCGCTCACTGGCTGAGCGAGGGGTGGGCGCAGCACCGAGGGTTGCGATCCCGTTGCCAGTCCCGATCCGGTACGGGCGCAACACTGAGGGTTGTGGTCCATTGCCGGACACGAAAAAGGAAAAAAAAAAAAAAAAGAACTAGAGTTACAAGACTTGTTCAAAATTCCTTTTATACAGGGCCGACCCCGTGGCTCACTCGGGAGAGTGCAGTGCTGGGAGTGCAGCAGCGCTCCCACCACGGGTTTGGATCCTATATAGGGATGGCTGGTGCGCGGTGTGGGCAACACCAAGCCAAGGGTTCCGATCCCCTTACCAGTCACACACACACAAAAAAATCCTTTTATACTGAAGTCTAGGGGAAGAAAATGTGTAATATTTCTACAAATTCCACTTGTTTCCCATCCAAGTACTAACCAGGTCTGACCCTGCTTAGCTTCTGAGATCAGATGAGATCAAGCACATTCAGGGTGATATGGCCGTACACCACATTCCATTTTGTTTTCCTTCAGTATCTCACTTTTAAAAATCATGTTGTTTGGGCCGGCCCGGTGGCGCACTGGATAGTGCGCCGCTTGGGAAGCGCGGCGGCGCTCCCGTCCGAGGGTTCGGATCCCACATACAGACCTGCTCCCGCTCACTGGCTGAGCGAGGCGCGGGAGCAACACCGAGGCTTGCGATCCCGTTGCCGGTCCCCAGTCCGGTACGGGGGCAACACTGAGGGTTGCGATCCGTTGCTGGACACGGAAAAAAGACAAAAGACAAAAAAAATAAAAAAAATTAAAAAAATAAAAATCATGTTGTTTGTAAAACTGGTAATCATCAGATATGTTGACTCTCTGTCAAAATGTACTAAAGTAAAATTATTTTAACTTTTCACTAAATGAAATGCTACACATTGAATGTAAATTTTAGTCTAATTTTTAAGATGGTTTTAAATGAAAGTTTTCCTGTTGGAATGTTCACACAAATAACTAAGGACAGAACAAGAATAGGGAGAAAGAGGTAAGTATCAGAGCAAGTTTTTAAGTTGAAATTCATTGATTAATGTCCTAAGCTAGAACTCTTGGCTTTCTATATTACTATTTAGTTCATGTGTACTTAAATAGGCAACTAGTGACAAAAACTGGCTACTCTGAGTTTTCTTACATTAAATTCTGTTAGAAAGCACTGAGGGCTTCTGTCTTCATATGTCAGATGACAAAGGAAAACTGTGTTCACTTTGTGTCTCATTTTCTTTACCTGTTAGGAATCCCCCAAAACAAAGCTAATTGATCAAACTGCCCTTTGGCAGTTTCCATAGAGATGATCTTCTCTTTGGCAATTAAAGTACTGTCTCACACCTTTATTTCTCTTAATTCAGGATTCAGAAACTTACACCTGGATGACCAAATGACCCTACTGCAATACTCATGGATGTTTCTCATGGCATTTGCCCTGGGGTGGAGATCATATAAACAGTCAAGTTCAAACCTGCTGTGTTTTGCTCCTGATCTGATTATTAATGAGTAAGTCATATGTGAGTCATTTTCCCTGTATTCACAGGATATTTTTAACCAGCTCATGTTTTCCTGATTGACTGCTGTTGTGAAAACTAGGACTGAATCAATTCTACCAGGTATCTAGGAACTGGGCAAACTTGAAATAGAGTTGTTTATCAATACTTGGGACAGGCCAACTGTAATGTAGAGCAAATGTGCATGTGTCATTATTACCGTCCCAGGGCATGTTTAAGGATATTTTTTAAACAGTGGGCATCTCTGAGGTCAGTAAAGTCTCTGGCAAGTAACGAGGAATCTTACTGTGATACTGTTTTAATTATATAATCTTATTCTAGAAAGGAAAAGGTGCATAATAAAACTCCTATGGATTCAGTAGAAAGAATCACAGATGAGAACATCTAGGCTGAGGGAGAGGAGATATCGATACAGATGCTCCAGGCCTACGTCTCTATCTGTGAAGTATTTCAGATGCCTATTCCCCCTTACCTCATTGCAATTGTTTCCTCAGTTGTTTTCATCTCCAATGTATCCTTCACTGTGCTGGCTAATGTTTCCTTCCTCAAGCACAGTTCTGATCATATCACGTATCTCCCCAACATGCAGATGTCTTCAGTATCACCTCACTGATCACCCAGTGCATAGCCTGCATGGTTTCAGGCTTTCCAGGCCTCACTTTCTTTCTTTTTCTCCTCCACACAAATCTTTGCTCCCACTCAGCTGATCCATTCTTCAAACATACCTTCAGTTCATGGTGTTCACATCACCAGATTCATGACCTCTCTGTTCTATATCCCTAGTTCTTCTCATTTCCTACCTGTAACACTACTTTTTGTGCCCATAGCGTATCTCCTTTATTAGAATGTAAACAGGGAGTATACACATACACCCATGGTCTGAGAAGAGTAAAAAATGAAGATTTGTGTCTATGTGAAAAAAGATGGAGATTTCCTTAATTGTGAGCTCTGGGTGTTATTGATAAGGGCTCAAGAAAATTACTGAGATTACTGAAATCTTAAAACACATTAGTAAAATAACAGTCTCTGTGTGAGTAAATTCATTATTAGTAGTTTGTTTTCTGAACTGAGTACTACACTAAGAGTTAACAGTGACAACCTGAAATGTCTTCAGAGTGCCAAGGAGTTTGGAAATTAACACTAACTGTTGAACATGGGATATTTGGAGGAAAGAGAAAAGGAGACTTGAGACCACTGAGGACAGTCTAAAGAGACATTCTATGACAATATAGCAAACATACTTTCTGTTGGGTGTGCCAGGTATAAAAATAATGAGTAGGAGTTATAGAAAAGCATGTATTTGAGCTGAGTGTTAAATGGAAGGGCCTGACTTACAATATAGTAAGCTCCCATTATTGTTAAATGTTTTAGTACGGAGTGGATGATAACTAGTCCCTGATATTTTTAAAGAGATTCTTAGGCAGTGTGCAAGAAGTTGCAGATGGTGAGGTAATTCCAAGGCCACACATCTTAAGGATAAATGAGAACTACCTAAAGCACAGATTCAGGTTTCCCGCTACTAGGCTAGCAGTATAGAAAACTATCAAAAATCCTGGCTGAACTAATAAGTTAAACTTGGTGTTTCTCCATTGGTGATACTTATCCAGCACTGTATTCATTCAATGATATTTGAGTGCTTACCAAGGGCCAGGCACTATTTTAGGAGCTTAGGATATTAGTGAATAAAATAGGTGAGGCCCTTGTTAACATTCTGATAGGGGAATGCAAATAAATGACCAAAATCATTTCATAGAGCCATGATAGGATAGTGTGACTGGGGTGGGGGGGTTGTGCTAATACTTTAGATTTTCTGACTACAGAAGGCCTCTTCAAGTAGCTGAGCATTAAATGGTACAAACGAACAACCTATGTGAAAGGGTAGGGCATTCCAAGCAGAAGAAACAAGTGCAAAGACTTGAAACAAGCTTGGGATGTGTTAGGAATTGAGAGACGGCCACCGAGGATATAATATGAGCTTAGAGAAGTGAACAGGGGCAAAGATAAGCAGAATCCTGTAAGCCATGAAATAGAGTTTAGATTTTATTCTAGGAGCAGAAAGAAACCAGAATGGATTAGAGGGTAACAACAAATATTATACTGCTACTATGTGCCTAGTACATGTCTGTAGCAGAGAATAACACAAATAAGGTTCCTGACCTTTAGTTGCTTACATGTTAGTGGAGGAGACACAGATAACCACCAAATAAATAAAATAATTTCAGTTATGTTAGAGTTTTTACTAGAGAGAGGTCTATTTGAGATAAGGTAGCTAATGGCCTCTTGGAGGAGTTATCATTTGAGCTGAGACTTCTAAGAGAAGGAGCAGGCTTCATAGTGAGAAGCAACATGATGAAGCATATGAATGAAACAGATAGGGCCATAAGTCACAATGTCTTGAGTTTCCATATAAACCAAATGTATTTACTAGTTAATTTAAAATTGATAGGCTCATAGCTCAGCCTTTAGCTATAGGTACTAACCATGTGCTTGGCCAGACCACACTGACACAAGAAAGAAGTCATCTTGACTACTGCCAAAAAGAAGTCTGTTCAAACCACTATATCACAATGTAACAAGATTAGGTTGTTTGATCCAATTTTAAGTTAATGGGTAAATACATATGGTTTATCTGGACACTGAAATCATTGTTACTCATTTCAGAATTCAACCATGCTTTTTAAAAAATTTCGTATTGCCAGTGTTTACTGTTTATAGTCACTTTCTAATAAGCAGTTTGAAGTCATTTAATTGGGATTAAATCATGAACAGAGATTTTATATGAAACACCAACTTATCCTTCTCATTTATAAAACTGAAGTAATTTAATTCAGAGTTTTTATTACTAGGGCACTCAAATTCAGATTTAAGCAGTACAGCACAACTTGATCATGCCACATACATTCCTTACAAGTGGGAATTATAGAAATTTTTCTGAACAAATTTATGTAGTTTCATTTTCATTATGGGATACAGAAGAGTACTTTTTAAAGATTTTGCCTTGTTAAAGTATTATTATTACTTGGTGTTCAGCTGTTTTGGAGAATAGATGGCTATAGGAAAAATAGTTTTGAGGAGGGCATTCTCACTTCTCATTCTTGTGTCTTTATGTAGGCCTCCACCTCTTTTTTCTTAGCCCACTGTGTTTCCATACTACTCTGGTGTCTGGGATAGGCAGATTTTGGGAGTCAGCAAGTATACATTGAAGTTCTGACCTTATGGGTAGCTATAAAACAGACTCTCTTGGTTGTCCTTGGGTCAGAATGTTGTGAAAAGTACTTTTTGTTTTTTTACAGCCAACCACAATGTTTTTACTGTACTTTACTAAACTGTAACTTTGTTGCAATGTTCAGTTATATGAGGAATATAATCATGTATAAGAAACTAAAGGAGAAAAAGATATATCCCAGAAAAGGAGTGCTTAATTACTGTTAGGGGATTGAGAAGATGCCTCTTTGGTAAGAGCAGATTTTAATTTTGAAGAGCCATGGGAACTCCTCTGTGATCACTTGGGCAACATACAATTCATATCTAATTTATTTTATCATATAAAGAAGTAAACCACATCTTCAGTAGAGAAAAATAATTTTTTTCTTTCTGTTGAGTCTAAAATCACTTTCTGTCAGAAACTTAAAAAAAAAAAAAGATATTAAAGTATTTTAAAAGCCATGAACTGGGTACAGTTTTAGGCTCTTAGTGTCATTTCAAAAGTCAGGAAACTTTAGAGATCAATAGAAATTGTAGATGTGATAATGACTGAGAATCATAATCAAGAAACTGATTTGATACTTTTAGTTAAAAGGATATTCAGTCACATGTCTGTCAGAGGCAGATTTTGGATATCAGAAAGTCTAGCATCAAGTTCTAGTTGTGGACCTTTACATAACTATAAATAATATCACACATGGTTGTCTTTAGGATGGAATGTTGTGGGGAAAAAAATACCTTTCTCAAGTGGGTAGGCTCTAAAACTGTGTTGTCTAATTGGCCATATTCAAATGATAAACTTTGATTCAAATGTACAACTGCTAATAAATTCTGTAAGAACAAATTCTAAACACTTAAGTAAATAAAACAATAAATGGCATGCATGATAGAAAAGTAATGTCTACAGTGTAAAGATACTGTAGGCTGAGGAACAATTTTAAGGAAAGTTCTCTGAAATTGTGAGTCTATATGGAATTAGCATTAATAGCAATAGTTATGCTTTCCTTTATTAAGAGTTCACAGATCTGCAAAACAAAAATGTACATTTTTTTGAAATTAGTAGATTTCTATCTAACTGAAACACTGATATTTGTCTTTCACAGGCAGAGAATGGCTCTACCCTGCATGTATGAACAATGTAAACATATGCTATTTGTTTCATCTGAGTTACAGAGGCTTCAAGTGTCTTATGAGGAGTATCTCTGTATGAAAACCTTACTGCTGCTTTCTTCAGGTTGGTAGAACACCTGTTCATCAGTTCTAAAATTCACTTCTAAATATGTCAAAAGTATGAAATATAAAAGTCTAGAAACATGTTTATACTACTACTACTACTATTTCCTGCCAGTCAAATGATTTTCATAAAATTTTAGAAAGGCATGCTCAGTGATACCAAGACTAATAAGACCAAAAAGTGTAGTAGAAAGAGAGAGATATATGAGCCCACACAGAGTTCTCTGTTGGATCAGAATTTGTGCAAACTTGTTTCTTCTTCCTCCTTTTTATCACATCACTACATGAGACGTGAAGAAAGCAAGCCGACTATAATGATTATGTTTCTCTACTGCACTGTTACTTGGTCAAAAAATTTAGTTACGGGGCCGGCCCGGTGGCGCACTGCTATAGTGCGCCGCTTGGGAAGTGCGGTGGCGCTCCCGCCGAGGGTTCGGATCCCACATACAGACCGGCTGCTCACTGGCTGAGCAAGGGGCGGGAGCAACACCGAGGGTTGCGATCCCGTGGCCAGACACTGAGGGTTGTGATCCGTTGCCGGTCACGAAAAAAGACAAAAAGGAAAAAAAAAAAAATTTAGTTACATAATGAGTACTGCCATGTATAAGACATTATGGGAGAAAAAGATACATTCTAGAACAGGTGTGCTTAATTACTATTGAAGAATTAGTTAATGCAGCATTGGAGGTGGATTGTTGGACAGAGATATTCTATCTAGAAAACAGCAACAAGAGTTTATAAAACAATCCTGAAAGTTTAGATAAGGCTATTAATATATAAACTTCAGTTTATATACAAAGTATCTTATCTATATTAGTAAAAATGTAGCATTTTCAACAACTAGAAAAGAAAGGTCTGGACAAATCTGATAAAGAACTATTAAAATTTAACAGTAAGAAACAAACAACCTGATTCTGAAAATGGGCCAAAGACCTTAACAGGCACCTCACGAAAGAAAGATATACAGATGAAAAGCATATGAAAAGATTCTCCACATCATATGTCATCAGAGAAATGAAAACTAAAGGAGTGAGATACCACTACACACCTATTAGAATGGCCAAACCCAGAACACTGACAACACCAAATGCTGGCAGAAAAAGAGGACAAGATAAAAAAAAAAAAATGAAGAGCAAGTACAATGAGTAGAAAACAGTTACAAATGTGGTGGATATTAATCCAGCTATACCAACAATCACTTTTAATTTGAATGGTCTAAATATACCAATAATTTTTTTAAAAAATTAAGATACTCACTAAAAAAATATTTTAAAATACAGTAGTCCCTTCCACCCTCCATCTGAGGGACATATGTTCCAAGATCCGCAGTAGGTGCCTGAAACCAGAGATAGTATCAAACCCTATATACACTATGGTGGTTCCTATACATACATACCTACGATAAAGTTTAATTTATAAATTAGGCACAGTACAAGAATAACAACACAATAGGTGATAATGGAACAATTATAATGTGTAATAAAAGCTATGTGAATGTGGTCTCTCAGAATAGCTTACTGTATCGTACTTTACCCTTCTTGTGATGATGTGAGATGATAAAATGCCTATGATAAGATTAAGTGTGCTGAATGACATAGGCATTGTGACATAGTGTTAGGCTACTATTGAAAACTAATTTAAAACTTAGGAATTTCTTATTTCTGGAATTTTCCATGTTATTGTTTTTGGATCACAGTTGACCAGGTAATTGAAACCACGGAAAGTGAAACCCTGTATAATGGGGGACTACTGTGCTTAGACTAAAGGAAAGTAATCCCATCTTTAAGAAGTAATAAAGAACAAAAAAGTGGTAAATATGTAGCTATTTTTAAACTAACTATGTGTATGAAATAATAGTAATAATGTCTTTGGGGGTTAAAAAAAAAAAAAAAAAAAAAAAAAAAAAAATTGCCCAAAGGGGGGGTTTGAAAGTTAAAAAAAAATGTTTAAATTTAAAAAAAAAAAAAAATTGCCCAAAGGGGGGGTTTGAAAGTTAAAAAAAAATGTTTAAATTTAAAAAAAAAAAAAAATTGCCCAAAGGGGGGGTTTGAAAGTTAAAAAAAAATGTTTAAATTTAAAAAAAAAAAAAAATTTTTTTGGGGGTAAAAAAAAAAAAAAAAAAAAAAACACAACATATGCCCAAAGGGGAGCTTAGTAAGTTAAGAATGAATGTTTAAATTTCAAGAATAACAACTAGAAATAGAGCGTGTAAAATTACCAAACTATTGTGAGTGGAAAGGCGGGGAAGGGCTTAAGAAAAAATCTAAAAGAATGAAAGATATATGAGAAGAGGGGGAAAAAAGCATACACAGGGCATGATAAGAGAAGGTAACATAAAAGATAGTACAAAAAGGTAGTACAAATAAATTCAAACATATCATTAATTTCATTAGATGTAGAGATAGACTGAATGCTCTAAGGCTGTAAGCTAAATAAAAAACTGGATTTAAAAAATAATCTACCTTTATGCTACTTTCAAGAGATATATCTAAATAAAGACATTGAAAGGCAGAAGTATATCCACGTATAATGTAACCCAAGAGATGGCAAACTTTTTCTGTGAAGGATGAGATGGTAAATGTTTTCAGCTTTGTACAGCCTCTGTAATAGTAATTCAGCTCTGCCTTGTGGCATGAATGCAGTCACTGACAATACTTAAACGGAACAGGCTGTGTTCCGATAAAACTTTGTTTACAAATATGAGCTGCAGGTAGGATTTGGCCCATAGAACATACTTTACTGACCCTGCTTTAACCAAAGAAAACTAAAGCAGCTACATTAGTATTAAAAAAAAAAAAAAAAAACAGACTTTAAGGCAAAAAAACAATTCTACATATAAGATACTTATTACATTAAGCATTCTATTCACCGGGAAAATAGATTACAACTACATAAAGCAAAAAATTCATACAACTACAGGAATATTTAGAAAATCTTATGGTTAAAATCTCACTGTATTTATAGTAATCTCACAAATTAATAAATCAAACAGATAAAAATCAATACGGATATGGACATATATTTCATTTCTCTTGGGTAAATACCAAGGTGTGAGATCACTGGGGCATGTCAAATATATGTTTAAATTTATTTTAAAAACTGCCAAACTTTTCCACAATTGCTGTAACACTCACCAGAAATGTACGAGACTTAGGAGTTGCTCCGTATCCTCCTCAACATTGGTACTGTCAGTCTCTTTCATTATAGCTGTTCTTTTTTTTTTTTTTTTTTTTTTTCCTTTTTCCTTTTTGTCTTTTTCCGTGTCCGGCAACGGATCGCAACCCTCAGTGTCGCCCCCCGTACCGGACTAGGACCGGCAACGGGATCGCAACCCTCGGTGTAGCTCCCGCGCCTCGGTCAGCCAGTGAGCGGGAACTAGTCTGTATGTGGGATCCGAACCCTCGGCGGGAGCGCTGCCGCACTTCCCAAGTGGCGCACTATAGCAGTGCGCCACTGGGCCGGCCCTCATTATAGCTGTTCTAATGGTTAAAGATGTTAAGCATCTTTTCATGGACTTATGGGCCATCTGTATTTCTTCTTTGGTCATGTGCCTCTTTGAATCTTTTGCCCATTTTTTATTGAATTGCTTACATTACTGTTGAGTTATAAGAATTCTTTACAGTCTCTGGATATAAGCCCTTTATCAAATACATGTTTTGTAAATGTTTTCTTTCAGTCTATGGATTGCATATACATTTTCTTAAAAGGGTCATTCAAAGAGCAAAAGTTGATAGTTTTGATAAAGGCCAATTCGTCCATTTTTTATTCTATGGTTCATGTCTTTGTGTACTAAGAACTTTTTGCTTAAACCAATGTTAAAAAGATTTTCTACTATGTGTTTTCTGCTATATATTTTGTAGTTTCCGCTCATATGGTTAAGTATATGATCCATTTCAAGTTAATTTTTATATATGTTGCAAGGTCAGGGATAAGCTTCATTTATTTTCCAAATCCAATTGTTTAGAACTGGACTGTCTTTTCCCTATTGAATTACTTTCAATAATTTTGTAGAAAACCAATTGTTTGTTTATGTATGCATCTACTTCCAGACTCTCTATTCTTTTCCAGTGATCTACATGTCTATATTTATGCTAATAACATGGTATCTTACAAGAACATTACAGTAAGTCTTGAAATCAGGCAATATGAATTCCCCAATTCTGTTATTCTTTTCCAAAGTGTTATCTTAGATATTCTACTTTATTTGCATTTCCACGTATATTTTATAATCAGCTTTACAATTTCTACAAAAAAAGTCTGTTGGAATTTTTATTAGGATAGCATTGAATCTATAGATCTGTTTGAAAATGATTAACATCATAATTTTGAGTCTTCTGATCCATGAACATGATATATCTTTTCATGTATTTAGGTTTTCTTTATAATTTTCAGTATACAGGCCTCTTTATCCCTAAGTATTTTATGCTTTTTGATACTAATTAAATGGAATTTTTTAATTTTCAATTTCCATTTGTTGAGAGGGGGTGGGACTTCCAGCTATGGAGAAGTGGAGAGACCAGCAAATCTTCTATTCAAAAAATAACTATACTACAGAGCAGGGTTCCACAAATATTCTTCAGTAAAGGGACAGAAGGTAAGTATTTCAGGCTTTGTGAGCCGTGTTACAACTCCTCACTTCTGCTGTTGTAACAAGAAAGCAGCTATGTACCGTATTTAAATGAATATATGTACAATTATAAATACCTGTGTTCCAATACAGTTTTATTTACAAAATCAAGCAGCTGGCTTAAAATGACTTGTGAGCCATACATAGTATGCTGACTAGATTGTGGTGTATAATCTTTTTTAAAAAATATATTTTGGATTTGTTTAGCTAATATTTTATTAATCATTTTTGTATGTCTGTTTATGAAGGATTTTTCTTGTGCTATCTTCTTCTGGCTTTATTATCAGGGTAAAACTGTCCTCTTAGTATATGTTGGGAAGTATTCTCTTCTCTATTTTCTTAAAGAGTTTGTATAGTATTGATCAGATTTATTC